GAAAATATACCCCACCAGACATCAAAATATATGTCAAATGACTGATACACCAAAATATATGCTTATATAATAAAATTGGGAAAAATATATTTAATGTATATATTAATGACTTATAAAATCTGGTATTGATTAAAAATAAAATTTGTTGTTAATTATAGGTTTCAAAAAATCTGCTATTAACCAGATCATTATCAAGTAAAGTTACACCATTCTTAACTATGGTATATTATATTTGATTTTAAAATATCAAAAAATATTAAATTTAAATCTTTATTTGAAAATATTTTGCAGGCACTTCAAACTTTTAGTTTGAGTTTAGGAATTGAAAAAATATATTATTTAGGTAAGTTTTTTATGAAAATGTATGAAAATGTCTCTGTGTGTGTATATATGTGTTTCTGTATGCATAGATGTCTTTTTTTCTTTGCTTTGTCCATAGCCCAATATATGTATTTCAACTACATATATGTATGCATGTATTTGTCCTTCTTACCTTTTATTTGATTCCCTTTTTTATCTAGATGTTTTTTTTTGTATGTAATATATTGATAGTTGGTTTGTGTTGTTTTATTAGTGCTTGAATTTTGATGAGCCTGATAATTTGTTTATAGGTACATGTATGTGATTGCTTGTATATGCTTTTACCTGTATATACATGTGTCTGACACAATTTTCTTTTGTGTGGTTTTTATGTTTGTCTGTCTTTATTTTCTTCCGTTCTTCTTATTTTATACTTTATTTTTATTGTTTGAATTTTTCCTTCTATTTCCTGTGGGAATATCTGTCCTTATATTTGTATGCTTATATATTTTATTATATGTACATGTTCATGTATTAGAATGTGAATGTGTTGTGACATTTGAAAAAATCCCCATCTCCTGATCTACCTCTTCATTTGAATTCAGACTTCTATGTATCAAATATGTGTAGTCATCATAGATACATCTTACATCAGCATCAAATGTAACTGATAAATTGGCACTTCACTAAGATCAATAAAAAATGTATATTTTTTCTATTTCTGAATAATTTTGTAACAATCCCCAACTTGGCTTGATTAAAGTTTATTCTTTTTGACATTTCAAAAGATTTTTAATTTTAGCTGGGAAAATTAAAACTTATATATTGAATTTATTTTTTTTTTTTGTTTTAAATTTTAATGCACTAATAGTTTGTATTTAGGGTATGTTGTCATGTTATTTTGAATTACTATATTTTTGTATTTGATCAGTCATCATAGGTTATGTAACAATGTTTCCCCTATTGAGAGGGTTTAGTTGGTTTTGAACCCTTAAAACCCTTTATTTTGCAATCAACCCCATCACTTGAGAAGACACCAGAAGTATTGAAACAAAATGGCTATTTTGTAAAAAAATAGGTTTATAACATCCATATGTTATCATTCTTTCCAAATATGGCAATATATATCCTAGCATGGTTTTGTTTGGGTAGTGGCTTGGAGAGCCAAGTTTGAATTCCAGTTGAATCCATTACATTCTCTTATGTGCTAATAACCATAGGAAAGGTATGAATTCTCTTCTTCTCCTGCCAGCTATGGGTAAATAGCAGGACAGACAGGGTTCTATAGCTTTTTGATTTGAAATGGTCTAGGAGAAGAACAAGATCTGAATTTTTGTGATGTCAGAGGGTCAATTGTTTGAACCTTGGGAATGGTCAATGAGGTATCTGTTGTCGACTTTTCAAATGGTCATAGTAGTTGAGCTTTGTAATTTTTTTACCACTATAATCAAATCATATGTGCAGGTGAATATTATCCAAATATTAATATATGCCCAGTTTTTTTCTATATCACCTTTCCTAACAGAATCACTATTTTCTCAAGCCAACGTACACAACAAATACATCAAGAAATCAAAAAAGAAAAGCACAATACAAACAATGTTTCTACATGTGAAAGTACTCTCTTCAAACAAAGTAATTCACGTAATTTTTCAGTTGACTATCTGAATATACAGTAGTGTTTGTAAATTCTCCTAGTTGCTAACAACATTTTGTTTGTTTATAGATAATAAATTCATTTTTTTTTTTCTTTGAAAAAGTCCACATTGGACGAAACACATTGGATAAAATGACAATTTTCCTATTGTCTTTTTTCCTCTCTATATATCTCATGTAATCTTTTGCACAAATATTTAACAAAATCAAGTCTTATGTACAGTGTATGTATAAAAGAATTAGATAATTTATTTTTATTTACATTTTTATGACCCAACTCCCTATCAATAACTTGTAAGGTCAATGTTATGGAGTTGGCAGTTTAGATAATAAAAATATTACAAAACCCATAATCTTTTCTTATGTGCTATACATTAGTTATTGTATATGAAGCAAAAGATCAAATTGCCAGCTTAAAGCAAATAAAACACTTCACTTTTATAACCCTCACTTCCTTCTTTCACAAATACACAAAAATGAATGTTCCATAATCAATATCCTGTGATTTTAAAGCTACTGTCAGTATTTCTGTCAAATGTATAAATGGGATTTTTTTTTATATCTATAATATTAAAAGCTCAAAAAAATCTTCCAAAAACAAAAAAAATACTAAAATGTTGTTGACATGTTAATATCTTTATGTAGATATTTTAAAAAATGTTAATTTTAAATGTTCTGCAAATGAGCCTAACTTTTTAATTACAAACACAAAGAATTGTGGCTGCCATCCAGTTGATAACGTCACAAGAAAATAATAATAAAAAAATGATTCTACTTTATATATATTAATTATATATATTAATCTTTTCTTCCAAACAAGGCAAAAAGCCACTAACACGTAGTGGGTTACTGAGTGTGAAAGAATATAAGGAAAACCTTAGTAATGAGTGAGAACAATAAAAGGACAGAAATTAAGAAGATAAAATCTAATGATTGACATTGCATTTAAATTTTTGAAGATCAAAGTTAACTGGAAAGCAAGGAGAATTCTATAAGTGAGAAGTGTAAGAAAAACTGTTACCATAGAAGTTATGGTTACATCTAGCCATTTCAACTGTAAAATGATGTGATCTTACTGCCAAACCTGGGACTGAGCTTAAATTTATAGAGTCTGGGTAACATAGAAGAGATTTCATCAAAACAATTACCGTGAAAGTATTTATAGAAAAGTCAAAGGAAAGCTACATTACGGCAGTGTGAAAGTGACTGAAGCCAAGATGCCAGGCCAGGACCAATGACAATACAGATTCTTCTTTGGATTTTATTAGGAATCTCTAAATATATAGCAGGAGCACCAGACTATATGTGGCAGCAATATTCTATGCATGGAAAAATGGCAAACTTGTAAATATGTAAAATAGATTTGGGTGAGAAAAATTGCCGAGCACGACACAGAATCAACTTTCCTAGCAACAGACCTAATAATTGATTCGATATCTTTTCACTTCATGTCAGTGGAAAATGTTAATCTGAGAAGGTGCAATGAATCACTCTACTGGAGGTTAGCATTAGCCATGCTGATCAGAAAGGGTCTCTCAGAATTAAAGAAAACAGTTTTCATATTTGGAGGCATTAAAATTGACAAATCATATCCCTTGTCCAGTTAACAATAGAAAGAAGGTAATTTTTAAATTAGCTGCCCATTTGGCATTATCAAAATGATCACTTACAATTAAGACAGGAGTAACTAGTTGTCTCATCAGCATAGATACCAAGTTGAGAACTGATGCCATCAGGAAGGTTGTTGATGAAAATTAGGAACAATACGGATAGAGTTCAAGGGATAGAGCCAATGGACAAAAGATCTAGAAAAAAGGCCATTCAGATAACTTTCATTTTTCAATTTGATAAGAAAGACTGAATCCACCCAAAAAATTGTCCAGAAATACCATAATCTTTTAACTCGTGAGGTCCAGTATGCCAAACCTGTGAAATGTCTTTAAGATATCCAAAGCAACAGCCTGAACTTTACCATTGTTATTTAAAGCCTGATAGACTTTTTCAACAATGATTGTTAATTATCTGCAGTTAACCTAGAAAAATGAAAGCCATATTGTTTATCTGAAAGAAGACTCTGCAATGTGAGATGCTTAACCAATTCAGAGTTGATTAGAACCTCTCGTACTTTGCCAAAAAGAAGTAGAATGCTAATAGAATGTTTGCTTGATTTCTTAAAGACTGGAACTACATGAGAGGATTTCCAACAATCAGGAAAGCAAGAAGCAGCAAGGCTCTTATTGTTCAGTTTAGAGAACAGGATCTAGTTCAGCAGCACATTGCTTAAAGACTAGCGCAGGGATGCCATCACATTCACATGCCTTGAGGTAATCCAGTTTAGAGGAGTTGATAACAGAAACCATGGATGGGTTTTAGATATATATCACTCAATAGGATACTTTAAGTGGAAAGTCAGGCAAAGATTCTCCAGGTGAGTCAAAATAGAATTTGAAAAGAATTTGTCTGACATTTTGTTTTATCAGTAGAAGATATTAACAGTTCCAAATTGAGTGAAAAGAGGAGGGATAAAAGACTTACTCTCATTCAAGACTTTATTATAGAGCTGCCAGATCCAAACCTGTTTGTGGCAATACAGTATCTCATTCTATCAGCAAACAAAGACTTAACCTCTTCGATGACATGTTTACAACCATTATAAGCAGACACAAATAGGTATCTGTTGTGATTGAAAGTATCATGCTGGAACACCTGCAAGAAGTGATTCTTGTGGACTATAGCAGTTGAACAGGCTAATATGAACCAAGAAGATTGTGGTTTTGCCTGGTATTTCTGAGAAGGAACAAAATCACCAAAGCTGATTTAACCCAAGAAGAAACCTTTGTAGCACAATTCTCAATAGGATGGTTTTAATTGGATTAACTTCAAATAATCAGTGCTTTATGATTATCCCAAGTGTGTAGAATGCTTAATTGCTTTGATTTGATCTAAATCGTTTCTTTTAGTATTGTCTGACTACCCTAATTCTTTTTTTTCTTTTACTTATTTGTTTATTTTTCTTTTTACAGAAAGTCGACGTCCTTGGTTTAATGGTGACAGACATAATGAATAAAACACATGAATTTCTTCAACCTAATCCAGGTAAGTCTCTTGTTTGTTGTCTTTCTCTCCATTTCTATTTCTTTAATAAATAATATTGTTGTATAGCATTGAAGAAAATTTAATGCAATATTTGGAGATCTAGATTTACTTATACAAAATGTATTGCTGCAATAGTAGTGGTGGTAGTTAGTGTTTTATACACTGTTGCTAGGGCAGATTTTGCAAGCATTAGATGAACTCTTAGATAAGAGGAGCCCATTAACCTGATTTGAGATTTTTTTTTCCCGCAAATGTTTTTGTGCTGCTTGGCACTATAATAAAATCTATAACTTGAAAATCTATAATTCTATTTTCTCTTTCAATGCATCATGCTATAATATTTTAGCTTTCAATTAAGAATTCAGGACTTGCTAATCTGCATTGAGTAGGTGAGCCTCTTCTAAACAAATAAAATGTAATTTTTGTAACAGGCAAGTGGATCTGGAAGACATGTTACTATCTTCAGTAGTAACATACCATAATGAGAAACAGGAAAGGAAATACCTGCCATAATTTAGAGTGTAATAACAGTGTCTCTGCTGGAGGAAGTAATAACATTTATTTTGTGTGTGTGTGAGAGAGAGAGAGAGAGATGTTGCTTCTGACTTTTGCAAAAGAATGCTATCACTTTGAAGTAGCAAGATAGAAATGCAATCAACAACAGCCCCATCAAGGTGGTTGATTGAAAGATAAGTGTAGTTTTCGAGTGGATGAATAACAACCTCAATGTCTTTGTAGTCATTGCTTATTTGCTTTGTATTGCATTACAAATGAAGGCAAAGCTATGTTTGAATTCTGTGAACAATAAAATTGGCATCATTTAGCTTTTATTTATACAGTGCAACCTGAATGTTTCAGTGTACTGTCAGAAATATTACACTTTCATATGTTTTTACAGAGATGGTTCTTTAGCTTTCTTTTTTAGCTCTTGGAATAAAAGATCCTCTTTTAATGCACATTTCTTTTCCTCTTCTCACATTTTGCATAAGGCTCATCTGACACTTGTCATAATTCTATACTTGTATGTTCAAAACTTCAACTGGTAAAATGTATTTGGAAAATAAAATTGATTTTTGTTTTACCATTAAACCCCTTCTCACTACCTGAAGAAGATTTGTTGATCAAAATATAAATTTTCCTTTTATGATAGGTGAACAGTTTGAATAAATTTCCGTCATCTCTAAAATCTTCTTTACAGATTGAAAAATGAAAGAGGTGGGTGCATTTATGAGAACGTATTTTGTTAATGACATTTCAAGGATTCACTCTATAAGAATTATTATTCTGGCATTATTTTCAAACATAAAATTCTTCTTAAAAAGATAATGACAAAATGAAAAGTGTAATTATCTATACGGAAAAAATAATTAAAGATGAACGTTCGATTTTTACAGAAAAGTCTCAGAAATTGGATTCTTGTAATGGATTTGAGTGGCTGATCCTATCATTTGGGAAAGAGAGAAGAAGAGTTTTTGTATTTTCTTAATGGGGTATAATGCATCAGTTGGGTTTCCCTTTTGTTGCTTGCTGCTTGTATATATTTGTTTCTTCTTTGTTAGCTATTAACTTAAACTCATTTGTAAACATGCAGAGTTGTATACACATTAGCTTGTACATATGCATTCATGATGAATTGCTAATACATAGATACTAATATATAAATAACATATATCACACACATTGATTAAGTGATTTAATCAGAATGCATATATAAACAAACACTATAGTCTATAATAGCATGCAGATAAATGATAATTGTAATTCACTGGTATTCATTGACCAAACAGTTAATGTTATGATCAGTTGAATTTTATAAAATCATTCTCTTCAAACCAGTTATTTAAGAAAATGATTTGCTTAGATCCACTGTTATTGCTTTATTATTTATGGACGTTTCCTTCTTAACCTTTTGTTTAAGGTTGTGTTGTCAGTCAACATCTTGATTATATGATGAGTTTCTCTTCCTGTTATGTGTTATCCATTTTAATTGTTGCTCTTATTGGAAATCTTAGTGTGATGTGATTTTTATTTGGTAAAATTCTTTGAGTTGGTGGTGCCAATCTGTAGATCTGATGAAGGATTGTTGTCGTAGAGGATTCATTTGTTGGAAAATATTTTTAATCAGTGATCTGAGAAAACTGTTGTATATAGCTGATAGTTTAGATATTTCAGAATGAATTGGGCACTATGCATGGCATCCATATGAGAGTCTAGATCTGATGAGACTACTGAAGCTCAGTTGCTACTTATTACTCTGGTTATTCTATAGCAATGTATATAAGAATGCATGCTTGAAATATGTATGATTTTTTTTTTTCCTTATTTTTTGTAAGCATGAATTTTCTTTTGATTTTAGATGAGATCACTTGTGCAGCATCACCGTTTCTTTCTCCTCCCCTGCCGACCTTTTGTTATGGTGCTAGTAACAAAACCATGATCCAAAAGACTGGAAATAGGAGAATGTGAAAAGAGTTAGATTGATGTCTTTGTGAAAAAAGCATTTATATAAGAGGTATATTAACTGACAGAAAATAAAATTGCAACATCCTGAATTTTTTTCTCACTTTTCATTTTTTTAAAAAATGTTCTGTCCTTTAGGACATAGGAAATCATGACTCTCTACAGGTTCCTTTTCTTTGTCATTTGTGATTTTTTGTGAAATATAGTGAAGTGGTTTTCTGTTGCTTTCTCCACAGTTTCAACTTCTCAATTATCCTTTTCCTAGTCTGGCTGCTACTCAAAGCTAGACATTCCAGTCTATTATGCTTTTTAATCCATAGCTGGAAAGGATAAGTGATAGATTCATACCTTTCCTGAAGATATTAGTTTAAAAGTTAATTCAACAAACTACATAGACATTTGAATTTGGCATAGCAATTCTACTTTCTTTGCTGATAACCATTATGCAAACACACGTCTTGAATACGTATGTTGCAATTTACTCAAGATATAGGTAATGTAAATGGATTATAGAAAAATGATCACATATACAGCTTAATATGTGCATATGTTCCAAAATAAGGATTGTATCAAGAGTACTCAAACCTCCATATTAATACACTGTTTATTCTCAGTATGTGTTTGTACTTTTACATCATACAATCATACATATGGGGAATACCATACAGCAATATATAGTTCCATGCCTCATGTACCTGTTAATGTAATGCAACAAGAACTGTATGTAGGCTAATTGTGAAAAAGTTGGGCATTGTCCTATCATATCCCATAAATATTTTATGGAGACAGGTCTGTTGATGATGCTGAAAAAGGGAAGTTGTAGTATGAGCTTCATGTAAGTGGGTATTATCCTGCTAGAATTGTATATCAACTTCTAATTGTATTCTGTAGCAGCAGAAAAACTTAAACAAGCTTGTGGACATACATAGAACTGTTCAGCATTCCCTCCACAAATACCAAAAGTGAGCAAGTGTTGCAATGTGTGGTGCTCTATAATATCTAAAGTTCAGGACACAGTACACTGGTATGAGTGTCACTATATCACAAGATGGTCAAAAACTTTGGAAATTTTATCAGAATATCTACCATCCCCTAGCATGCATATACTATATTAAGATCAATATCATTCTTCAAGGTGTTGAAATTTTATTTTTGATACTCTGAATCTAATGCTATATTAGAAAATGTATTTGCTTTTATTAACAATTATTTTTGCATACACATACTTGCATTAATAGTCTAGTTAGTTATTTGTAGAAATTGGCTGGAATGGGATTAATAAATTTGTGAACACTGTTAAAACAAACCAGGATTTTTGGGGTGTGTGTTGTGGCTATTATGTAATTTCTAGCATTTAAAGTACTGCAGATATGTTTTTATGATTTTTCTGTTGTATCACATTGCATAATTATAGTCAATTAATACTCCTAGTTTATTGTTTAAAGTGTTTGATATTTTTACTATATTATGCTTACATAAGAAAAAACTTCTTGAGCCTATATGCAATCATCTAGGATTTTTGGCAAGTTTTCAGTTTTTTATGCACATTTTATTTGGCATATTTTTCTCTTGCTTTTAACTTATGGCTGCCTCATTAGTCAATCATAAACTTGTAAGTGCTAATTAACATCAAATAAAACAAAAAGTATGTATAATACTGACAAAGATGAATATATTCATTAAACTTAAAAATATGTTAAAAGTTATATATATGTTTATTTTCTATGAAAGACACAGGATACAGGAAACAACACTGCATAGAGACTATCAGTTTTATGTTTCAATGTTGTCTTCAGAGTTTTAATTTTATACTGAAGTAAGAAACTGACAGTCACCATGCAGTGTTGATTCCTATGTTCACACTGTCTATATTTGTAAACACTCAATCTAAATTTTTACCATGCACACACACACACTCACACATAGTGAGTAAATGAATGATGAGATGGAAAAAAAAAACATATTAGTGGCATGTTTCAGTACAAGAAAGAACTTCAGACTAATAGCAGTTTTGTTGATGGAATCAGTTTTACATACAAAAATAGGAAGAAAATGTTGAGGGATGAAATACTACAAATTCTGATTGAGTATCTGTTTCTTTAACATTTTCATGTGATCTACTGTAACTGGCATTTGTTGTATTTCTCCCTTGACCATCTTCTCATTTTTTTTACCAATTTTTATATATAAGACTGATTTCAATGATAAAACAGTTATTAGCCTGAAGAAGTGCATTTTTGGAGCAAAACCCATCAGTAAAATGTTTTACATTTTGTCATTAATTTACTACTAAATGATTTATATAAATGTTCATAAGATATGCACAGAAAAATATTTTAACTCAATTCATTGCTTGAAAAAGAAAATAAGAATCATAACATCAATTTCACATCTATAATTGTGAAAAATTTTTGGCCAAAAAAGAAAGTTTAAACAAAGAATATCTTTGAAAATCAGTGTGAAAAGATATTTCTGTTTACTCTGCTTAAAATATATATATATATATATATATATATATGAATTTTTAAAAAATAAAAAAC